GGGAGGCTAGAAGTATTAGTGCTTTATGAAAACCACTTTGGCAGCTGAATAGAGGATGGATTGTGTTGGAGATTTGAAGAGTGGGAAGGGTCATCAGAATTCATTCAGTCTAATGCCCATAATTTTTTGTTTTCAATTTCTAATTTTTGTCATTCTGAACTTGACAAACTACAAAACACTTGAAAGTTTCCATATGCAAAAAACCAAAGAGGATTGCTCATGAAACTATAAATCTCTATGTACAAATACGTACATGTGTGTGTGTATATTTATATATATGTATATATATATATCTCATATATGTATATACAGACACATACACATTGTTGCACATTACTTTCAAAACTATGCTTATCTGACAAGCAATCTTGTATAGAGGAACACATCCCCATACTCATTCCACAGAACTGACATCTCTAAATGCATATATTCACCTATAATCACGTAGTAGGGATCAAAGGTTCATAGATTTAGAGCTGTAATTGATTGATTGATCCACAAGCATTTATTAATTGCCAACTATGTTCCAAGTACTGTACTAGGTAAGGGGCTACAAATACAAATGAAAGAATGAAACAACTCTGAATCTCAAGGAGTTTACAAGACTCTCATTTCACAGATGACCAAAAGAAGTTAAGCAAATTGCTCAAATTAACACAGATGGTTAGCAATGGAAGTGGAATTTGAAGCTAAGTCCTCTGGTAGCCCAGAGAAGAAATGGAAACAGGGAACTATTCTGAGGTCAGAAGCTGTATAAATGATGGGAAAAAAAAACCAGGCTGGTGTTCTGCATAGACAAAATTGGCAATTCTGGACTCTGAAAGTGCAGTACAAAATATTATACCTAGAAGTGTAACATGATATTAAGTGACACCATATGGTGGGGGTGTGAACAAAAAGAGAAAGGAATGTCCATAACGTGCTAGTACTGTGCTTAGAGGTATACATGTTCTTATCCTTTAGAAAGTCAAATAAGTAAAAATCTTAACTGAACAAAGTCATGAGAGATGCAAGAATATTTGATCTCTTAAAGATAACTTTGATAGAACTCTCACATACGTGGGATAAATCCAGAATAGATCTGGAAGAAGATGCTCATTAAACCAGATTTTGGCTTGGAAGATTTCTTAATGTTTAATTCAGTTTTAATTTCTGTTGTCCCTTCAAAAATCATGTTTCTGGGCATCAAAAGGATTTGACAAATTCTATTCAATTCCTTTCAATCTGATATAACTCAACAAGTATTTACTAAGTGCAATGATAAGAGAGGAATTGTAGAGAATAGTGATAACAGGACTGAATCCCAAGTCTGGAAGACCTGTATTTGAATTCTGATTTAGACATTTAATGGCTATGTGACCCTGGGCAAATTATTTAACTTCTACCTATAAAATGTCAGGGCTAACAATAGCACCTAACTCATAGTGTTGTTGTGAGGATCAAATGAGATAATATAGGTAAAGTGCTTGACAAACCTTAAAACATTATATGAATGTTAGTTATTTTTAGAGGCCAGTGTTCCAGGTACTTGACCTCTAAATCTGATAGGTTTCTCCATCAATACAAATTGGCTCCTCTGCAGCTTATACAGAGAGTTGCTTAGGTCACTGACCTGAACCCAGGTCAAGCCAGCTCTGAGGCCATCTCTCTATCTACTATGCCATGCTACCACTATGGTACTGGGGATAACAAGATATATGTAAAAACAGTCCCTGTCTTCCAGGAAGAAAGGAAGAAGAAAAAATGCAAACAGGTGTAAATATACACATGCGTACATACATATATGTGTGTATATCATATATATATGCATATATATATATATAAAATGTGTAAATGTAGCAATCAATAAACATTTATTAAGCACCTACTATGTATCAAGCACTATGCTAACTGCAGAGAATACAAAAAAGAGGCAAAAGACAGTCCCCTGCCTCCAAGCAGCTCAATTTAAAGGGGGAGACAACAAGCAAAAACTATGTACAAACAAGCTATGAAGACGATATATAGAAAATAATTAATAGAGAGAAGGCACTAGAATTAAAAAGAGTTGGGAAAGGCTTCCATCAAAGGTGAGTCTTTTTGCTGGGACATAAAGGAAGCCAAAGGAAGGCAATAGGCAGAGTAGAGGAGGGAGAGCACTCCAGGTATGAGGGGCAGCCAGAGAGATGGAGTCTTTTGGGGGAACAACCAGGAGGATACTTTCATTGTATGGAAGAGTGTTATGGAAAGTAAAGTGTAAGAAAACTGGAAAGGTAGGAGCTGGGCTAAGTAATGAAGGGCTTTGAATGTCAAACAGAAAATGTATTTGATCCTGCAGGTGATAGGGAGCCACTGGAGTTTAGACTTGCACTTAAGAATGGAGAGAGACTAGAAGCAGACAGACCCACCAGCAGGCTATTGCAATAGTTCAGGAGCTGGGTGATGGGGCCTGCACTAGGGTGGTGGCAGGATCAGAGGAGAAAAGGGGAAGCATTGAGATGTTGCAAAGGTGAAATCAACAGGCCCTGGTAACAGATTGGATGTGGTTAGGGGGGAGGGGTTGAGGAGTCCAGGATGACTCCTGGGTTACCAGCTCAAGGCATGGGAAGATGGTCTTACCTCCCTATGCAGTAATAGGGAAGGTCAAGGAATGTTTAGGGGGAAAGATACTTAATTCTGTTTTGGATATGTTTAGCTTGCCTGTGAGATGTCTGAAAAGCAGTCGGAGACGTGAGATTGGAGGTCAGTAGAAAAGGTTGGGGCAGGATAGTTAGATTTGAGAATCCTTGGCTTAGAAATGGTAAGTAATCCATTGGAGTTAATGAGATTACCAGGTGAAGTCGTATAGAGGGAAAAGAGAAGGGGGCCCAGGACACAAGGCTGAGGGACAGTAATATTTAGAGGGCATGAGCTGGACAAGGATCCAGCAAAGAAGAATGAGGAGCAGTCAGACAGATAGGATGAGAACCAGAGTAAGATTTAAATGTACATACATATGAGTGTGTGTGTGTGTGTGTGTGTGTGTGTGTGTGTGTGTGTGTGTTATCCCTCATTCTCAGAGGACCGAAATGGCATCATCTTCTTGGAGTCAAGGTATAGTGTGTCCAACTGTGGCTGATCAGACCAATATGAGCTTGGAAGGCTCTACCACAGGACTAAAGGCAAATAGTCCATGTGAACATTGGAGTGGAGATGTCTCTAAATTTGTGTTTCTTTTGTTTCTTTTGAGCTACTGCAATTCTACTTGGATCATATAGCACAGTGCCCTCTTTGAATTACGGATGCCACATTGGGTGGTCCTTTGCCAGTGTCTCCCATGTCATACAGTCAATTCCAAAGTTCTCTAGGAGACCATGAGAGTATCCTTGTATCACATCTTCTGACCTGTATGTGAGCTCTTGCCTTGTGTGAGTTCTCAATAAAATAATCTTTTAGGCAAATGGTGTTTGTCACACAAACAATGGTCAGGGTTCAAATTCAGACTCTGTTACCTAGGGGAAAGGAACAAGTGTTTATTAAGAATCTACCATGTTCTAGGCATTGTGCTAATCAATTTGTAAATATTATTTCACTTGATAGCTACCAGTGTGGCCTTGTGCAAGCTACTAACCCCCTGGGCCTCAGTCTTCTCATCTTTAAAATGAGCAGGTCATCTAAATGGTCTCTAACTTCTCTTTTTCCTCCTATGTCCCTCCCTTCAGTGAGAGTGAGATTACTCAGGTGATGTGCTTTGCAAACCTTAAAGCACTCTATGAATGCTATTATTTTGAATAGCAAACTCATTTAATGAATTAACAAATATTTATTAAGCCCTTACTAGTAAGTGTCAGACACTGCTACCTAGAAAAAAAGTAAAAAAATGATCCTTGCTTTCAAGAACTTACATTCTAATAAGGAAGCCAGCATAGAAGTATACAGGGTGTCCCTAAAGTCATCGCAATTTTAACTTTAAATAATACTAAATATTAAATTTAAATACTTTGGTGTTTAAATTTAATATTTAGTATTATTTAAAGCTTGAATTTGAGTAAAGACTTTTTGGGAAACCCTAAGCGTGTAACCAGAGACACAGAAATTCCAAGATAACCTTAGAGGGGATTGGGAAAAATTTCCTATAAAAGGTGGCACTTGAGCAGAAACTGCCCTGGGCTATGGAAGTAGGTGTGGGTGCGCCGGGCTTACCCACGGAGGAGGATTGCCCCAAAGGCTTAAAACTACCAGAGTTACAGAATACTGGGATTTAACCCCCCTCCTCCCCAACCTGCGAATAAAAAGAGTAAGGCCCTCCCCCGGCAGCTCCTCCACTTGTCTGGACAGAGGGGGTGGACGTCTATTCCTAGGCTTCAGGACCCCCAAGCGGAGGAGAAGCAACAACTGCGCCACAGCACATCCCACCCCACCCCGGCCTGCGCCTGGTTCCTTACCCACTTTCACCCACGAAGTTCTGGATTCCCAGGGTTTGCGGTCTCGCAGGGCACCTCCGCCCAGCCCCAGCCCCGGGGGCTCCCAGGGGTTTCTCTCCCCCCTCATTTAGGAAGGTACACAAGGGGGGGGGTGAGTGTGCTGGGGGACAGTGAGAGAGGGCAGGGAAAGGAGTCTTCTGCTAAAGTCTGTGGAATATTTATCTACCGACTTCCTTTAAAAAACTGCAAATCTCTCCCCTCTTCTCCAAATCCAGCATTTGCTAAAAAATGTGTATGTATATATGAATATATATAATGCATATATATATACATACAAACATATACAAATAAACAAATAAATAAAAGGAGAGAGGAGAGCAAAGACAGCAGGAGGACAAGCGGCTAGCGACCTCAAGCTCCCGCTCCCCTCCTGGCCCCGCCCACCTCGCTCTTTCTGCCCTCCCTCCTCCCAAGCTCCGCGGGCCTCCCCCCTCCTTTCCGAGAGGAGGCGGAGACAGGCTCCAGGACGCCATTTTGGGTGCCTGTCTAGCCCCAATGTTTACCACTCTATGGCTCTTCTCCTCCCTCCCCTCCCCTCCCCAGTCATTGTCTGTAAGAGCAGCGGCGGGCGGCAGCAGCAGCGCTTTCCTCTTTATAAGCCCCGCAGTGCCCGGATGTGAATGGATTACAATGTATCTTTCAGGGAAACCTATTATTATCAATGTGACTCCACGGGGGAGTCAATGGTGATGATGATGGTGATGATGATGATGATGATGAGAAATCTCTAAACTTGGAACAAGTTTAAGACTTTATAGGAGACGAAGAAAAAAAACAACCAACAAGATTTGTTTGAGGAAAATTATTAACTATTCTGTTTACATATTTTTTTTTAAAGAAACAATAAGGAAAGGGGAGAAAAAAGTTGGTGGATTTTTCTTTTTTTTCTTTTTTTTTTTGGTGGGTGTGTGTGAAATTTTCTTGAAGTTCTTTTATGGTGGAAAATGCAAAAATCAGAGCCAGGTGCATGATCTTGTGATCTGTGGAATATCCCTGGAGCAGGACTGAGTTCCAGTTAAAAAGTACTTTTTTGGGGGAGACATATGTGAGATACTAAGCACTTGCAGAAGATTTTCTCTTTTTCAAAAGTCTCTTTCCTTGGAATATTGTGAGAATATTTGTGGCCATTTAAGGTAAAGTTACAATTTGCTGTCAGAGTAAACTGTCTTTTAATTTAATTTATTGTTTTAAAATAATGTTGATCCTAATGTGTTATTAAAGCAAAAGGAGCAACTTGTGAAGTAATAGCAATTTGCGAAGAAAAAAAAAGTGTGTGCCTGCATTATTTGTCTGTACTCGCACATATAGAAATAACAGGGTGTGTTTAATGTGTATACTTCAACACACGTTGAAGCGTATATGTTACAGATAACTGCATAAAGTACGCGTGTATAACGAAACTTGAGAAGTATAAAGCTTTATTTTAACCTGAAAAGTGACGCGAAAATAGATTTTTGTAGCCTATAGGCCCTGTAGCAGTAAATGTTGAATTTAAACATATATTTCTGGGGAAAGGGAACTTAGCAGCCCTTGGAAACTCGAGTGTGAAAAGCAAACAAAACAACAATCCTCCCCAAATGCTTACTTGCTAAGTTTGTAGCAATACTCTCTGTGACTTAAAAAAGGGAGGGGACAAAGTATGTACAGCTTACAGTTAGAGGAAGAACCAAAACAGAGGAGACAACCTCCCCCCCAAAAAAAATTGAGTTGGTTTATGTATGGAAAAGAAAAATGTTCCTCTTGGCAAAGTCTTTTTGCATCACGTGTATTTGCAGCCTAGTATAAACTTGCCTTGCCCTGTGTGTGAGAGAGAGCAAGAGAAAGACAGAACTGAAGAAATTGAAACTATAATAAATTAAAAAGTGCCTCCTAGGGAAGAAACCGGCAGCGATTGAACTGTTAGTGGTTCAGATAATATCTTAGGGTTTGAGGGAAAATGAGGCGCCTGATGGATTTCCGTTTGTATTTCTTTTTTTCTTTTTTTTTTCCTTTTTGAGGAGGGGGCGTAAAGGGAAGGTGCAGGGGAGATGCTATGATTTTTTTTTAAAGAAATGCAGCCCAAACCAACCTAGCCAAACCAACCTGGGAAAGAAATGCGTCTCTTCTCTTCAGCACCCCCAACCCCCCGCCTTTGCTGAACTTGCAATTCCGTCTATCTTTGCGTGTTTCCCCCATTACACACCTCCCCTCCCCTCCCTAAAGGAGCAGAGAGTTGGTGTTAAGAGTCAGGGATCTTTGCAGGGTGTCTCTGGATCTTGTAGTAGTAGTGGTTGGTAGTGGTGAAGGAGGAGGAGAGGAGGAGGAGGAGGAGAAGAAGAGGAGGAGGAGAGGAGGAGGAGGAGGAAAAGAGGAGGAGGTGGTGGTGGTAGTGGTAGTGGTGGTAGTGGTGGTAGTGGTGGTGTGTTTTGTGAATGCAGTGATTAGAAATGAAACCCGTCTCGGTGCTGTTATTGGAAGGGGAGCCCCATCTCTCTCTCGGGCGGTAGGTACCGGAGCTGGCATTTCTGGTGGATCGGTGGCTGATGGTGTGATGGTGTAGCTAGCGGACGGAGCCGGGAGCTAAGATCTCGAGGCTCGGCCAGGAGCTGCTGGAGGTGGCTGGAGCCTTCCTTACACGCGGCTTTTTTCCTCTTTCCTTGGGGCTGCGATTTCATTTCTGCTCCATAGAGACACCCCCCCTTCTCGTTTCCCCCTCCCTCTTCTCTTCCCCCACTCCATCCACCTTCCCTCAGCGTTGCCCACTTTAAAGGAACTGATGACTTTGCTATGGGCCTTAAAAAAAATCACCCTTTACTCCACAAATTAGGGTTCTGCGTAATTAACGAACCCGATCCCACTGCCCTCTATTCTGCCACCTACCCCTCCATCGGAAGTATTTTTACTTAGAAGATTCACATCTTTTAATTTCTTCATAGCTACTTTAATAAGGAGGGGAGGGGTGTGTGTGTGTGTGTGTGTGTGTGTGTGTGTGTGTGTGTGTGTGTGGAGAGAGAGAGAGAGAGAGAGAGAGAGAGAGAGAGAGAGAGAGAGAGAGAGAGAGAGAGAGAGAGAGAGAGAGAGAAGCGCGAGGAGGAGGGGGAGGGGGGAAAGTTGAGACCGGATCGTTGCTGAGTAGTTTCTCTTTTCTCTGAGATCCATTCATTCTTTGCTGTACCTCCTGTTGCATAAATGATGCGCTGAGAGCGGCTTTTTTTTTCTTTTTTTGGATTTGGTTTTAGAGTGGATGTTACCAGTTTTGATCGTCTCTTTTGGAAATACAATACCTTTTTTTTTCTTTGCTACTGCTGCCCCCTCCATCTTAAAATATTCCCCCCCTTCTCCTCTTCCCCTCCCCTTCCACTTCAATTACACCCCTCCCCCCATCCCCCCAGTCTCCAAAAATCCGATTGTGTTTCCTCTAAGGATCGGGACTGGGTTCTGATTGCGGTTATTTCCATGTTTCTAGGTTTGTGTGATTTTGCTAAAATGCATCACCAACAGCGAATGGCTGCCTTAGGGACGGACAAAGAGCTGAGTGATTTACTGGATTTCAGTGCGGTAAGAAAGAACGGTGGAAACTAACTACAGCTGTAAAACAAAACAAAACAAAACACTAGCTAAAAACAAATAAACTGTAATCTAAAGTACACGAGTAATTTTTGATCGGCTAAGACCATGCTAAATTTGAATGTCTTTATGGACAAGTCTTTATCTTTTCTGGTGAAATTAAAAAATAAAGGCATTTTTCTTTTTTTCCCCCTTTTTTTCCCAGTTTAATTATGTACTTTAGAAGCCCCCTTCCCCAAGAAAATTAGAGTTCAAATGGAAAAACACCCTTAAGTAAACTCAAAGGTTGAACATATCAGAACATTGAAAGTACTTGTACTTTCTCACTAATCATTGTTTCAATAAAATTTTTTATTTTGGAAATAGATAAGAGGAGGAGCCAAATGTCTCAGTTTTGTTTTAAACTGATGCTTTGGATTAGAAAGACCTTCTAACCTCCAAGTGAAATCTCTTCTTAGAATTCTAAAAGCTATAGATATATACACATATGTATATGCTTAATACGTATATATCCTTCTGGATATGCAATTTGTAATTTTAATAATTTCTAGACCAGCATTAACAAGAATGTGTATACTTGGAGAGTTTTAACAGCCTTTGCTGTCCCTCTCATCCACATCTCTATCCCCCTGCCCATATCCAATCCAAAACTTGCCAGGACTATTTATTTATTTTTAATGATTGATGAGTTTGGTGGTAAGATGCATTTGCAAAACAAAACCAAAAATAATAATCCACAACATGCACCATCCAGAACCGCCTTCTTAATGGGGTTGCTTCAATGCTGCTAGTGCTGCTGCTGGTGCTGCTGCTGCTGGTGCTGATGCTGCTGCTGGTGCTGCTGCTGCTGCTGACTTTTCTTTGGAGAAATGGCTTTCGGAAGTTTGGCCAGGAAACATAGCCTGAGGCAGCTTTGCAGCCCCCTCTTAGCTTGTTGCACTTTTCCCATTTGTTTCTTTGCTTTTTGCAGGCTCTGACTCAGGGAAGGTGCGTATTATCCACTAGAAACGTCGAAGAAGAGGGAAACCAATTAGGGTCGAAATAAATATAGGGGGAGAGGAGAAAGAGAGGAGAGGAAAGGGGAGAGAGAGAGAGAGAGAGAGAGAGAGAGAGAGAGAGAGAGAGAGAGAGAGAGAGAGAGAGAGAGAGAGAGTCTTGCTTCAAATTGCTCTCATGTTAGAGACGAAATGAGAATTTAGTGCAGGTGGCAGTTTGCATTCATTTTTATTTGGGTTCACATATGACAGACAATTCCTATTCGGGATTGAAATGGACGTTGCCACCTTCATGGCCAAGGTTTTAAACTTAAAACAAGAAACTTTTTTCTTCTTTATCAAAAAGCTAGTTGCAGGGGAGGCTTGTTGTCTCTAATTTGAATCTTGATAACATTTTGGGGACTGTGGTTTTTCAAAATGTTAATAATATTGTCTAGGAATCTAATGAGTCTAATTGAAAAGAGTGGTGTGTAAAAGAGAGAGTTGGGAAGGGAGGAGGAAGAGTCTGGATTTAACATTGTGCCAGTTTTAGTTTTGAGTTGAATGGTGGTGTGTTGTGTTAAGGAAGCCCTTTACATAAGCTTTGACTTATTTGTTAAGAATGTGAAGGAACTTTTGACTAGCTGTGAACACACAAAAAATGCTTCTTCTCTTCTAGCAGTAATGTTTCTTTGTTTCTTTTAGATGTTTTCACCTCCCGTGAGCAGTGGGAAAAATGGACCAACTTCTTTGGCAAGTGGACATTTTACTGGCTCAAGTATGTAAATTCTTTTCCTTAGTGTGTAGTTAAAATGTTATTAGTTGTATATTACCTTGTAATGTATGTATATACATGGGGCTCTCTTGATCTGTTTTCAAAAGCAGTCACTGAAAGATAAGCAAAATGGCATGAATTATTTCAGGGCTCGACAGTTGGATGGCACACAAAAATTCAGGGTTTTTTGAAAATTAAGTTTTTTGCTTCTTCTTTGGCAAGAAAATTATCGCAAAATTCTATCAGTTAGTTTTAAAATGTTTCTGATGTTGGTATGTAATCAAACATATAAAGATCATCCCTTTTTAAGGAGACTTGTTAATGTGGAGGACAATTTAATGTTCCTGTGTACTTACAAACAGATTTTTAAAAAATCTATTAGTAGCTACTGGGTTAAATTAACCCTTTTAAAGAGAAGAGCACTTCATTTTGAAGATGAATGCACCTTAGTGAAACTCATCCTGCATATAGAATCTCTTGCTAATCTAAGGGATTGAACAGAAATATTTTTAAATACCCTTTTAAATACTTCCTTCATTCCACCTTCCTATTTTTCCATTGAATTTTTATGTAGTTATAAATTTGAACCAGCTTCTAAATTTCAAAAATAAGAGGACATTTTTTGTTGTTTAAAAAAAAAACCTCAGTGTTATTCACAGAGGAATCTATGTGTATAATGACTATCTGACAAGTAAGGAGTTTAAATGTGAGGATATTTATATGTCTGGATGTACCTAAGATTAGATATGAAGAACGAAAGTAAACCATGCTTTAGAATGTATTTAATATCTGTTCACCAAGTTTCCTTTAAGGAGGATTCTTACTTTGTTGCATGCTGTCCTGAAGTCTAGGCAAAAAAAAAATGCATCTACAATTGTTAAAACAGCTGTAATATTTTAAGAGTGCTGGCTGTTGCACCTAAGAGTACATTATGCATATGGATATAAACATGTAGTACTATTCTCAATCAAATGGGTAAATGTGGACATCTTTTAACTCTGAGATGCCAGTGGAAATATCCATTAATCATTGAATACAAATTTTTATCTATTATTTTCATTTGGTACTGGAGCAATGAGAGAAACTTGTTCAGCTGCATGTTTTGCACTCTTTGTACAGTCTTTTTTCAATTTAAAAAAAAACTGTTTATTTCAAAGCAAGATAAGCATTTTGTTTTGTTACTAAGCCTAGAGGAAAGAGTTTTTGCACATGTAGTATACATTTTTCTCTTTTGTAACATGAGATGCCTCTTACGGTTAATTTTATATATTTTCTTGATTATGTTACTTAAAAGTTTAAAAGTATTAGAGAAATGTTGAAAGCTTAGGATCATGGGTATTGCTGTATTTTCAGTTTAGTGCCTTCTGAGGATTTATTTCTTTGATTTCCTTTCAATTTGTTGTAAAATCTACCAAATCACATTTCTCTGACTTGTATCTGTTACACAATATTTTGATATAAAATATTAATATGAGTGAGTAGAAATGAGAATAGTGTCTCTTTTAGAAAAATCAAATTTTTCATGTTCAGACACAATCAACATAGAATAACTAACTTTATTTTTGACAGTAAATTTCTTGATGTGCATCTTGATGTTTGAGATATTTGGCTACAATTTTAACTTTCAAGTAGATTATGCTAGAATATGCAATGATAGACAATTTTGAAAGTCAGCCCTTCAGTATTGTGAAGTGCTGAGAACTACCTTTAAACCTGAAACATTTGGAAATGACTTAAGTACATCACTGTAAACAACTTTTAATCAGTTAAGGTAAGTTAGCAATTTGAAGTTTGTGGCACTGTGATGAATATAACTCTACTCCTAGTTGATTCTCTAACCTTCTTGACATTTAAGCAAAGTATAGGTGTTATACTATTATTTAATAAATGTTCAAAAACTGCTTATGATAGTTATAACATAGACATGATAAATAAAAGCATGCATGAGTGCGTTTTGATCATGGTAATATACTGAAGTTTATACAGTTGCTTAGGAAAATTACTATGTTTCACTTAAAAGCTAAAGATTTAGCTTGGCATTATTAGGTGATTTTGAAGGAAACATACTATAATTTCTTTTTTTAAGTTATGGAAATACACATTCAGACTTAACATTGCAGGTGTAATGCTGAGGCTAAAGTCTACTTTTATGAGTTAAAAGTATAGTTGCTATGGCCAGTTAAATATGCAAGCTATACATTTGTTGTACTATAGTGATGTTAATAGTAATAGAGGCTGCACAGTAGGAGGAATATTAATTTAGTTCTGTCTTTATAAGATAGGTGTATTAATTAAAGAAGATGGTTTGTATTTTCAGACACATACTCATTAAACTTTTTAACCCATGATAATTTCACATATCAGATAAAATGAATTTGTACAATCTTCCCTTTCACTGGATGAATGTACTATGAAAGTTTAAACAGAGAAACAAATGATTTATTTCTATAAATCTTCTTCACCTTGATTTTTGCTGTCCTAAGGAAGCTAATATATCATCCTCCTGTTTTAAGTTTGAAAGTTTTAAAAGATAGAATAATAAAGAAGGAAAGAAAGAAAGGAAGGAAGAAAAAAAGAATGCAAACTGGAAATAATCTGCATTTTACTGGAAATCAAGTATGTTTTGTAAAGCATGTTAATATTTCACGCTTAAAGTTCCCAGCAGATTTTGACTTGGTTGATACAGGATGCTCCATTGTGATTTGTAATGTGTGAATAAAAATTAAGTATCTCTATATTTCCTTTAATCTTTAATTTCACAAGCATGGCTTTTCCTACCACCTTAAGAAATAGTGAGGCTGTAAGGGAGAAAGGAATGTAACCTGAGCTACAGCTCTGACATTCCCAGGGAGCATTTTTCACATGAAAGGCTTTTGTCAACCCAGTAAAGGACCAGCAGTTTTTGTTTGATGTTTGCAGGTGTTCAGCAGAGAGCACTAAAACAATTCAGCCATGATGGTTCAGAGCTTCTATGACCTTAACAGGGAGAATTGGTGGGCTCTGGAATTATTTTAAAGAAAACCTTCTTGCATTTATTTCAACCTGCATGTTGACTTTACAGAGTGATTTAATACCTGTTAAGTTGTTGCTCTTAAACAGAAGGATACTTGTGTCCATTTACGTGGAACTTTATATATAAAGGAAAATAGGATGACCAAATGGAATTTACCTAGATAGTCCCACAATTTTTGAATTTATGAGAGGGCCCTCAACTTAAATTACTTTACTACTAAATCAAACTTATTAGCACCTATTTAGCTTGCAGACTTTTTTTTAAAGAAAAATAACTTTCATACATGATTTACACTACTGTGTAAATTAAGCTGCTGAAATTTGTTGATGCTAAAGACTTTGTTAGGTAATATAGATAGATAGTCACCATTGTTAGAGTTCTGATTTCAAGCTACTTTATGATGAATATTGTTTCCTTTTCCTCTAAGTTTTCAAAATTTGACATTTGTTATGTTATTACTCAATTTTACTTAGGTTTTCAAGTATCTGTTAAAATTGCCAACTATAGGAATATTCAGATACTTTAAAAGAATAATTAAAATAGAATTTTTTTGTGGAACAAAAAAATCCAGGTTCACCCATGTTTCTAAGGATGTACAACAGAACAAAATACACTGAACACTAGGAAAGCCTATCAGTTCAGTTAATATAGGAGTAAAAAGTCAGTCCAACTGGTTGCTTGGCATCATCCAGATGATTATTTAGGACTTGTATAGATATGGTCCATGTCAACTTGAAAATCTAAAAATCTTATTTATAATTGCATTAATCATATTAAGAATTATTCAAAATTATAAAGCACTTGGTACGCCTTAAATTATTATAGACCTTTTAATTTTTTGTCTTGACCTGTGATTTCACTGGTGTAGTTAGTTAGCTTCTGATGAGGAAACTTCATAAATTGTACTGTAACTTATAGTCTTACAGGATTGCTTGGGCCATTGAGAGGTTGAGGGAGTTGTCCAAGGCCTGGAGCCCAATATGTCAAAGGTAGAACTTGAACCCAGGTCTTCCTGACTTTTAAGTCAGCTTTTTATCCTTAAGCCATGTTGCCTTTTATAGATATTTGAACTGTTAATATTATTGTTGTTGTTGACAGTTACCCCAAATAAACATTTGTTTACAAATTTATCAAAACTTTGTGTCAAAATCTGTATTTTTCTACATAGTACAATTTGTAACAGTAGTACATTTTAGATGACTTAGAGGAAAATTTCCAATAAAATATTTTGATAATTTTCAAAAACCACTGGATTTTATGTGAACTTTATATATAAATATAACCTTCCATAATAGCTGTTTTAATCATTTGAATGTGATGGGGAAAAATAGCCCCAGTGAAAGGGATTGTAGAATGGTGGTGTCATATGCTCTTAAAAATATAATACTGGCATTGTAGGGGAAAAAATAATTACAATAGAATGTGATGGTAAAAAAAGTACAGAAATTTAATAAGTCATACACAAGAAACATAATTAAGCCTATACTACCTTAGATCTCCACATATTAGTGCTTTAGGGACTTTCAAGACCATTTTGTCTAAACCCTTTGTTGTACAGATGAGCAAACTGATTTCCACAGAAGTAAAGTGACTTTCCCAAGAGAATACAGCAATTTAGTGGTAGATCTGATCCCTGATCCCATTGCCTTTCCACTCTATCATGTTTCGAGCTGAGGTACAGTGAAGCTCCATCTTCCAGTACTTTTTCAAAAGTTTCCAGTATACTTCAAAAAGTGTAGTTTTATTTGAATGCAGATTTATACTTTATGTATCCTACTTATTCATAATCATTCAGTATTTTTGTGAATTGCTTTACCAAAATTAGTCTAACCCTGCATTGTAAAGCACTTGAAACCACTTTTACCAGCCTTGGTTGCTCACTAAATGTAGAAGTACTTTGTGGTAATTTTCTGTTCCCTTGGAAAGTCCTTAGGAAACACAAGTACATAAGGAACACTACCATGCTCTTTCTTAACCTGTGTTGTCACTA